CTAGTTCGTAGCTGTCATATTTTTCTTCTGCTGTATTTGTTTTTTTCGACATGTAGTAAACGGGATGTAACTTTCCATCTTCTGCTTCTTGTAACAAAATTGCGCCGTACCCTTGTTTACAGGCGTCTGTATGCTGTTCTGTTTTTCTTCCATACTTGTAGAGGTGCAAGATTGGGCCTTCCGACATGATTTTCTTCAATTTTCAAATGCTTCTTTTTGTTGAATCCCGAAAACAAAGAGGTTTTTTTTCTTGTTAAATCGCTAAGTGGTTTAGCTATCTTTGAATAATCCTTGATGTACTTGCGGAAATATCCAGTTAAACCAAGAAAACTTTGTACTTGTTTTTATTGTTGTTGGTTCTGGAAATTTTCGGACAGCTAGTGTCTTCGTGGGAGATGGTTTAATAGTTCCGCTTTCTACAATGTGACCTAGAAATTCAATTTTCTTTTTTTTAAGAATTGGCACTTCTTGAACTTAATTTCTAATCCGTATTTCTTTGCGACTTCAAAGATAATTTTAAGTTTTTCGAGACCTTCCTGTTCGTTCTTCGCTGGAATGACGAGATCATCTAAATAACTGATTACAATTCCTTTCCGAGTAAGATCTCTAAATATACTTGATACGTAGAGTTGGAAAACTCCTAGACTTGTGCTTAGTCCGAAAGGAGCTTTGTTGAATTCAAATTGTCCATCTGGGACGATAAAGGATGTATACTTTCTGCAATCTTCGTCAACATCGACGTGGAAGAAACCATTGCGTAAATCTAATGTAGAATATACCTTTGCTTCTTGCAAAGTGTCTAAAACATCTTCGATGATAGGTAACGGAAATTTATCTTTCACAAGCTTCTGATTCAATTTTCTGTAGTCAATGCACATTCTCGAAGATCCATCTTTCTTTTTTACCATTACGATTGGACTTGCATACTCCGCAGAACACGGACGTATAATGCCTTCGTTGAGCCATTCTTCTATCTGTTTGTTTACTTCTTGTCTTTCTATGAAAGCTAGTCGACGAGGAGGTTGACAGACTGGTTCTTCGTCTTTTAAAATAATTCTCATTGTGACGTCAGTAGATGCTGTTTTTTCTGGCTTGTAGTCTTGAATTAACTTTTCAAGTTCCTTCTTGATTTGACGATTTTCAACATGACGTAGGTCTAGTTCTTCTTGAAGATTTTCAGCTGATATTTGCATAAGCTGTGCATGATTCTCATATTTGTTGAATTTAACTCCTTCTTTAGTAAAACTTATCGATGCTTGTTCCATAAGATCTGATCCAATAACTGCTTCGAATTTTAATTTATCAGTCGGTACAACATGCCAAGTTAACGAGTAATTTTCATCATCTATTTTGAACTCATGTTCAAAGGAACCGATAGTTGTCACTTGTGCTTCACCAATACCTGTGAGAAGCATCTTGTTCTTCGATAATTTCGTTGGATCCATTATTCTTCTGCTTGTGTTTTCTCGAAGCAAACTTACGGTACTACCACTGTCTATGAGCGCCGTGATTTTCACCTTTCCAAAAAATATCTCTTTAGTACGTAAACCTTCCTTAACGATGAGTGTGCAAGTTTCTTTTGGAGGTTCTTTGAATTTCTGTGATTTTGAATAGTTTGTTTGAGCATGCTTGGAAGCATTGTGATTTGAGTGTTTCTCGTAATTTTTTTTTGTTGTAATACCCTTTCTGCGCGCTGTCTTGATATCTTTGAACAGATTCGTACTTGGTGACAGGGGCTTTGTAATGTTTGTTGTAATTCGTTGACGCTGGAAACTTCTTATCTTTCTTGTTATACTCGAATTTTCCTGGTGATTCATATCTGCGATTCTTTTCTGTGAATCTGAATTCTTGTTTCTTCACATTTGGACCACTCGATTTTTTGTTTCAGAGTCCTTTTAAAGTCTTCGAATTCTTCTAATTTTTCTGCTAATTGAACAGGGGAGTTCATATTTGCCCATTCATCAAGATAATATTCTTTAAATTCAAAAGGAGTTTTCGTTTGAGTTGATCTGTTATGATTAGATCTGATAACTTGTTGAAAGTATCTATCTTCAATCCATCTATCCATCCGTTGAAGTAAGTGTTTAACTCATGATAAAAATCAATCCATGTTCTTTCAGATGCTTTTTTGGTGAGTGACAAATAGTTGTCGAAACTTTTCTGGAGTTAGTTTAAAGCGTTTCAGCAGTAAATCTTTAACGTGTTCGTAAGAGTTAGCTTTATCGTCAGGCTCTCTCGCTATGATGTGAGATACTTCCGTCGGTAACAAGCCTAACAGATGAGAAACCCAGTTTTCTTGATCAATATTCAATCTCTGCGCTTGACGTTCAAATAATTTTAGATAAAGACTGATGTCTTCTTTCAAATCAAAACGATGTATAAACTTTGAAACTTCTTTGACGAGAAATTTAGTATCACTTTCTTTGGATGTATCAGCGCCTAACTTGGATTGTGTTTGGATTCTTAACTTTTCCAACTCAAACTCATATTTGCGTTTTTGCTCATCTAACCTCAATTGTTCGAAGCGTAATTTTTCTTCTCGTTCTTCAATGCGTAATTTTTTTTTTTGCTCTTCAATGCGTAAATTTTCTTCTCTGGCTTTGCGATCCTCAACAATCGTTGAATGTATGTTTTTTTGGTCAGTTCTTCGTCATAATCTTCACTACTAATAATTAGATCTTTAAGTGTGGCGATGGTCATTGATTTATCGAATTTTAAATTTAATTCCGTGGCTAAGACAAATAAATCTTCGCGTCGACCTTTGCCAAGATACGCCATTTTAAAATTTAAATATAAGTTTAGATAGTAACCAAAGGAATAAACAAAATTGTTACGCGTTCAAACAAAATCAATGATGTTTTTGCTATTGGCAATTCTCGTTTGCATTTACAAAAATTCTCAAGTTAAAATGATATTGCATCAAAATACACTAAATATACATTGAAATATTCAAATTCTAATCATTTAGAAATATTTTAAACCAGTAACGTGTAAAGACAACAATGCGAGCTAAAATACGTAATGCTTAATTTAAAGTAGTCAAATCATTAATTTCAACTAAAAAACAAAACCTTTTTTTTAAACCATTTAATATATGAGTTATCTCATTTCGTTATAACAAATGCAAAAAGAATTTGAAAGAAAAAAATAAATATAAATCTTGTTTAGAAACAGTGATTAAATTAATTGCGATATGAAAAAAGTTAAGGAATATAAAGTTCTTTGCTGAAAAAAAAAGCAAACAATTAGAAGTTATTCAATTAAGAAAAATCTCGTATATATTTTTTATTACACTAATAAAAATAAAATCTTTTAGGATCTCATCAGCAAATTTAAAGGATAAACACATGTTTCAGCATAATAATTCTGTCAAAAATGAATTCAAAATACTTATATATTAAACGATAAAATACACAACATTAAAATAAGATTATACACGATCCTTCATCAATTCTAAAAACATAGCATATTTCTTTCAAAATATATTTCTGGAATACTCGTAAAAAATAATTAATTACTAAACATCTACAAGAGAAATGTTAAACTATATGAGTCATCGAAATTACGATCGCTTCGAAACGGTAATGTTTAGGAATGGAAAACATTAATTTCTTAGTTCAAGGTCAATGACGCAACCCAAAAAATGAAAGCTTTTCGCACATACATGAAATGCAATTCCTTATTAAATGAGATAGCAATTCCTTATTAAATGATATACAAACTTGAATATTGCGTACGACTTTCTTAATATTTTAAAAGATATACTTGTAGAAAATTTTAATTGATACAATTTCTATACATAAATAGAAAAGTAGTATTTCAGAAAAACACACATGATATTTAAAAATATAAATTATTCCATGAAATCGACTACAACAATTTTTTCATAATCAAATTAACGGTGACTCACGTATTCTTTTAGATTTTTTTCCTTTTGAAGAACAATATAAAAAGTACCTGATACAGTTGACGACATGTGATTAATTACTTGAAAACAAACTTCAAAGGCTCCTGGATGTGTTCACTGGACTTGTGAAACTCTTGTAGTTGTTGTACACGGCTGAAAATAACTTGAAGCACCTAAATGTTAGTATGTTATGAGAGGCAATCCGCATTTTCGATTCAGTCCGTTTATAAATTAGGCGTGCAGCCAAAAATGGGGTTTTTTTTTTTAAAGAAGAAGAGAGAAGGTTATCAACTTATTATTTAGAGAAGATTTTCGAAATCAAATCCCAGGCGATCCCCAATTATTTCTGTGGGAGTCCGAATAAATCTTCGAATAAAAATAAGACTCTTCAGAAGGCGGGATTTTAGATTGGCGAGGTGGCTTGTCTAGGGGTAAGTATTTAAGGGTGAGTGATGAATTCATTGAATCTAAGTCATTAAAACACGAATACTTCTTTTAAGTAAATGAGAGAATTTATTTAAAGTTAAAGGAAAATATTTACAAAAAAAGATAATTACAAATAGAAATAAATGCAGGAATTAAGTTAATTAAAAGTTGAGTAATACCTTTAGAAGACGGGGAAATGAACCTTTCTCATTATTGGACGTTAGGACTGGCGGTGCCGCGTTGGGCGCGGAAATGCGGTAGACGCGATGTGTTGATCAAGCAGTAGTTAGTTGGCCTCTGCCGAAAAATTATTCAAGCCGGAGCTACGAAAGCTCACTAGGTGGCGCTGCTTCGGAATGCAGTAATAAATCAAATTGAGATTTATGGTCCTCTGAAAAGGATATCACTCAACCTTTTTACAAATGTTTCAAAGGGAAAATCCTACATATATATATATATTCATTGTTCAAATTTTCAATCGTTAATAAAATACATTTTTTTCATCCACTCTAGTTCAAATATATTTTTTAACTTGTATTGAATGACACTTAATATTAATACAGTTTTTCAAATATTACTTCATTAATTATGTTTAATTAATGAAAAAATAGTAACAAACAAAAATAATAGTCCAACACCATACATAAAAAGGAAAATCGCTAGCGGTGTCCCAGGAGCACCATAGTTAGCGCGGTGGACTTCTAATCCAAATGTCGTGGATTCGAATCCCACCTGGGATGGCCTAATTTCTGAGAATGTATTTTTTTTTCTTTTAACTATACTATTTTATTGGAATATTTAAACTTAATGAATAAATAATAACAAACAAAAATAATATTACAATACCATATATAGAAAGGAAAACGCTTTTTATTTTGCCATTTAATATTGTGATTCTGTCATATGTATATACATATTTATATTAACTGTAATTATCTTATTAAAAATAACTAATATAAAACTTTTTTTTGGGGGGGGTTCATTTCTAAGTAGAAAATGACTTAATTTTTTTATTATTACTTGTTTTCCATAGAATTTCACTCAGTATTATAAGCATGAAATCAATCTACTTTAATATTTACTTTTCAATCATTTGTGATTCTTAAGTAGAGTTTGTTAAACATGTATAATGTACACAATACGTAATATATTTTAAGAACTTTTTTTAATAATTTACGTTTATAATGTTAGCAGATTGTTTGCAGATTTTACCTTTTTTTTAAACATTATAATGAGAAAAAAATTGCATATTAGAAAGATATATTAATTATATATGATACATTAAATGATACACTATTAGTTATATATCAGCAAAGTTTTCTCTAGTACTCTTAAATTTTCAAATTATTCTCATTCATATTTCTAAACTATTCATCAAATCAGGAAAGAAAATATATTTAAAAAAATAAGAAGCATACTGTATGCAATGAGCAGCATATTTTAATCTAAATTATTCATTTATGCCCTAAAAGGCTCGATTATTCTTGGAATATCCCTTTATAGTCCATCCTTCTCTAAGAAACGATAATAATAATCGAAGAAATTCAATAAAAATTTTTTCTATATAGGGAAATATATATACATGGTACTTTTATCATCGACAAAATTTCGTAAGTTTTATGCTTAACACACGTTTAAGAGGTTTCTTGGACTAGTAAATCTTATGATATTCATGCCATAAAATATATTTCTGACAGTGTCTTCTCTTGTGTAAGAGTAAACCATGCCTTAGAATATAAACCTGATTTACTTCTATAAAGTTATATTATTTTCAACGAATACCTCTGTTTATTTGTATGAAAACATTTGTTGAAAGTTAGTTGGAATTTTCTAGTATATAATATAGATTCCTTTAGAGTGAACAAATAATATCCCTACAAAAAATCTTCAGAATAATAATGATTAGATTAGACAATAATTTTAGAGTGCAATACTATTTACCAAATCCTCTTGGTGAAATTGTTTTTAGGCAGTAGTTTTAGTTGTATACCTCCGAGTACGTTATTTTCATTATTAGTTATCTCTAATAGTTCAGGGATAAAATTTTAGATGGAGATTCATAAAATACAGTAGCAGAATAAAACCTTTAAGTGTTATGTTTTATAATGTAAATAATCATAAAATAAAACCCGATTGCTTAGTTTGTGTCATTCTTGAGACACATTTGGTCATTTGTCAATACTCGGACTTATGACATGAAAAGGGTGACATCTGATCCTAGAGCATTCAAAGTCATTCTTCCATTCATCATCCAGGGTAAAATTTTGAGGTCTTGATAAAAGTTTACATGTGCAGAGGATCATATTAATCGACATTGTAGAATTGTTAATAGAATCAATTTATTTCCATTATTCGAATGTAACTTTGCCAACATTCTGACGATTTAGCAATTAAGTTACCTTAAAAGTATCAACCTAGTTTATAAATATGTAAATGGTAAGTAATTAAAAAATATTTTTAAGTAAAATACATTTTAAATATATAAGAAGGACTTGAATATTAAAAATTAAACTATGTACTAAAGTGTGCAGATTAGCTGGGTAATTTGCTAGGTAATGAAGACTTTGAAAAACGGAAGAACACGAATGAGAGACAAGATAGGAATACTATGCGACTGTTTACTGTTTATTACTGTCGGCTATATAATGTACTGCAGTTTCTTCCAACATTCTCATGGTACCTTCAACTATCTCATGCCGTATGAATGGAGTGTTCCTTTAAGGTGTCTATCTTTAAACCCACACACACACACATAGCAGACTCAGAATATTTTGAAATAATTTTGAAGCAGATAACCATCTGAGATTTGTGTGTGGTTTTCACACATCTATTCTCCTGGCATATAACTATTAGTTCTAGTGTGATGATATAAAGTGTATGCCGTACTACAGAAGGTTGCCTCTGATTATCGCAGATATTTTTAGCTTCTGAACGATAAGTTGATGATGCTGTGCGGCAGATTGCGTTACCCCCTCCCCCAATCTTTTCGGGGGGATCTAACAAGTAAATATCGGCTCATAACCATTGCTTCTCCCTTTATTGCCTCCATACTTTCGACAGTTTTCTTTCTATAACAGTTTCATTACATATTTTTGCTTTGGTATGCCGCACGTTTTCACATCCCAAAATGCCTTGAATATGGAGCAGTAATCGATGGTTGTCTGAAAGAACCATCGTGAGAATATGAATTTATCATATTTTTTTTCAAATACGGAAATGTTAACCATTCATGGGTTCTAAAGAATTTTTTTAATGTATTTATTCCTTTCTCTATGGATAAGATTTATATAGTTTAAATTCAATGAAAACAATAACATTATTCAGAGTGGTTAGATTTTTTTTTTCAAAAAGTTTACTTTTTAATGTTTGTATTTAAAACACTTAATAGGTATCTGCCACTTAGATGTTAATTTTTTGTATAAGAAATTAAAATTTTATTAATATTTGCTTGTCTATTCGAGAGAAGACCCAAAATTAACCGGGACCGAACTGCTGCACGCGCGTGCTTTTTTAGGTGCGAGTTCTTCTGTTAGATGATGTAAGTTTGTTGGGCATTCCTGTTTCAGTTTTTTTGGTAATTTGTTAGATGGTCGACCACAAAGAATAAAGAACGTGTAAAAGTTTGCTTTCTGGTAGAGAAAACTTCAGGCATTGGGATTCTTCGGCAAGCATTTAGTGAGGAGGCTTTAGAGTAGTTTTCCCATTTCAAATTAGGAAACATGTCAACTGAACACAGGCCATATCCAGGGCATAATTCGACGGGAACAAATGACGAAAACATTGGTAAAATCAAACGTGCAATTGATGAAGACTATTGACCAAGTTTCTGAAAAACGAACGCGCCATGGACCATGCTCACGACAGTGCTCCATCCTTTACAGCTTTGATGAACTAAAAATTTTTGACGAACATGGTGCTTGTGCCTCATCCACCCGATTCACCCGATCCGGCTCCATCCGACTTTTTTGCTTCCACAAATGAAGAAAATTCTGAAATAATTGTGATTCAATAATGTGGATGAAATCAAAGAAAACACACTAATAGCTCTCAGCAGTACCTTGTTTCAAGAGTTCCAGAACTGGTTTGAGCTGTGGTAAAAGCGTTGGAACAAGTACATGGACAATACTTTGAAAGGGGCTAACGTAGAGTTTAATAAAATGCAAAATAAAAAGTAACAAAAATTTCGGTTATTTTTCTCACCCTCCTTCAATGCATTAATTAAAAATGCGAACTTTTTTTTCTGTCGAAACTGTGTAGCCATAGAATAAAACTATGTTATTTAGTTAAAGGGAAACCTAAAAATCCAAAAGAATTACTTATATAAAAAACTAGCTGGTATACCCGTTCTTCGCACGGGTGAATTTAAAAATTAAAAATACAGACTGAAGGATAAAGAAGTTTTTAATGAGTTAATATTATGTGAATTGTATAAATTAAACAAAAAAAAGCCTTTTACATAACTCAGCTGAACAAAAAAACCATATTTGCTAAATTTTAAGTCTTTAGATATAATTGCTGTTTTTTTTTATTATTGTTATTATTATTTATGACGCCACGTAACTTTCTTGTGGGTCGGTTTTTGAAAACACCTACCTGCTCAGCAAAAGTAACACATTGTTACAAATTTTGTGTAATTAACGCTAAAATAGTGTAAATAATTTTTATCTGGATGTGTAATACGTTAATATTACTTTCTGATGCATTTATTTTTTGTTAAATAGCTGTTACCCGTGACTTCGTCCACGTGGAGTTTAACAAAAAATTGTTTATTCACTTCGCAGAGTTTATGAAAACTTTTCTTCTACTCTGTGAATCTATGGTTCTTTTTTGTTTTATTTTTTTCTTTGCTTTTTGTTGAGCAAGGGGTGAAAGTGTTGCATGACCTTTGACTCTGTCGATGGGGTGAGGACTAAAATCTTTAGGATCAAAATAGGTCTAAGTAGCAAGTAGGGTGAAACGCGAACACAAACGAAGCCGCCAGAAAGGGGGTGAAAGGGATGCATGACCTTTGACAATGCAGTTAAGGACTGTAAAATCATTAGGATCAAGACATAAACGGGAAATGTCACGAATAGCAGCAACCTAATCAAAGAAAAAAAGTTTGATATAACTGTTAGCAATCGTTGAGACAGAAGGCTCGCGAAATAAAATAATCCCTATTAAATAAAAATAATCCCTATTGAAATAAATAATCCCAAATTGAATCTGATATTGGTAACTATTTCATTGGTTTTAATTTTACTTTCTCGGAATCTTAATTCTTTTTTCTAAAATAAAAGTAGCCTAAATTATTTCTTATAACAATAGCTATCTGCAGTGAAAGTTTCGTCAAAATTGGTTCAGCCGTTTCAGAGATTAGCCGGAACAAACAGACTGACAGAAAGACAGACAGACAAAAATTTTAAAAACTGATATTTTCATGTAAGTATCGTATATACTTTTAAATGCATTTAGTAAAAAGCTGTTAATTTCAAATTACAAACATACACTTCATTTTTATTTATATGTATAGATATATAGATTTATAATTGCAATCAATGATTCATTACACTTGTGTGAATATTTAAAAGATAAACTTTTTAGGCATTAAACTAATATGTTGCATATTCCATACAATTTAATCTTATTTTTAATAATTATCTCACTTAGATTATCCGTATTAAACTTTTTTTTTCATTGGACTAGATTCAGACTTTTCATTAGAACCTTTGAAATAATGAAACATTTTATTAACTCTTTA